GTCAGCTTAAGAAGATCAGTTTATAAGATCACATAAATAAATATATCAACAGTCAAATTGCGTTCAACAGCGCTCACACGTTTAGGTGCCAGCTTTGAATGTGCTGATTCCTCTTTCCTTTTAATCTCTGTGACGTGTCATATGTAAAATTGTAAAATAGGGAGTGCCTAGATATAAAAAAAGTGGCGAAGTGTGTCTAACTTATCTTATGATACAAAGGATCAAATGCTATTAGCACAATCTATTTGACTGATAGATGAGTTTGTTTTTCATCACACACAAGAGTTTTGGATGAAAAATTGAAAGTCCTGTTCATGGAAAGCGAAAAATATGGAAAGATACATGTGCATTTATCTTAAATGTATAAAAAGTTGCGGTTCAATAAAGGTATAGAAAGACAGTGAGCAGAAATGGTAGCGTGATGCGATAGGCAGAATTATGAACGAAAAAACATGAGGTGGCTGGTTAGGTGACAAAGTATGTTTCATTTCACTTGTCAACTTAAAGCACCTTTTTTCCAGGAGAGGATTCGTAGGAGACATGACCAGAGAAAGTATCTCGACTGTACAGCTGTTATGTATGAAGATACCAGTGCAAAGATGTTCGCCAATGAACGTCGGTTGTTTGAAGAGTTCGAAAACCCTTTCTCAACGTATTCCGATTCATCGGAAAAGGTTAGTAAAAAAATCTTTCCATATTTCAATATTTCTTACATGCTTTATTAGGGGCGCGTGTAGCGCAGTAATGGAGGTTCCCTGGTTCCATGCAATATACATGAGTTCGGTCCTACACCGCGGAATCACTGAACTTTTTATCCTTCCGGGTCGGTGAATTGGTATCAGACCTGTTTTTTTGCGAGGGTAGCAGCACTGACTTGATATATCAGTATGCCACTGCTACTCATTGTATGGCCAGATATGCATTCAATCACTTTGAACAATTACTGATGTTGTACAATGATTGGCGCATCCCTCAGAGGTTGAGCAGCGTCGAGAGCTCCATCGTTTATTTTTATGTTTGGTTATTACTATTTTTTTCTACTTTATACGACCCGTCTTCACGTCTACTGTGCGGATCCCATCACTTCTCACATTCAATTCGCTTCCTCGCATCCATTGTTCACGAAGATCTCTCAGCTTTACGTATGACTTGGTTGCTGCTTGAGGTTTTTCATTTCATCTTGAATCTCATAGAATGCTGGTCGAGCAAATTTCGCTGGAGCCCTGAGATAGCCGGGATGGAGCGTTCCCAATTGGGTTGCAGAGAGTGATCTTCTCCCAGAAGACTAGCATTACATACTAATTTGTCAACCTCAGAGGGATTAGAGGCTTGGTTGGCCCGGAGCGGAATCGAACTAGCACCATGTTCGTGATGATTGACATCACTACCACTGTGCTATCCACCCCCTTATACTTGAGTACTGACTTTTAATTCTGTGACAACTATAAATGACCATAATTATGAGAATTGTTAACGCTGGCTGGTTTTAATAAAATGTACTTTCAGGTACAGAGTTCAATTAATGGGTTTAAAAATCCTGACAGCTCTGCCGAAAGGAATTCGAGGTGCTCTGTTGAACAATCGAAAGAAGTGAACAAACAGGACCAGTTGCAACCTTTTGGAATGCCTGAGCTTTACGATGCTTTGATGTCGCCAATAGAAGAACTATTAAATGAAGAAAGAACGAAACACAGAAAGGTAGTAGATGAGTATAAGTAGAAAAACAGTTTATTAGAAAGAGGTACTCGTCAAAGTTGACAAATTTTCCCGAAGAGTTATGAATCTGAAGTGTGGTTGGTGCGGTAAGGAACAGTACTGTGTTTTTGTTGCTGATGTAATTGTTTACATTAGATTAGTATTTTAGAGTAAATGATAAGTGGTGCTATTCTTTTAGGTGAACTCGACTTCGAATTATGGGGAAAGCACAGGTTAGTTCTGTGTTGGATTGTTTTTCTCATGAGTGACACTTATGCAGACGTATTGGTTTGAACTCATGTTTATTTCATTATTATGCTTACATGAAAATCTATATGGAAACATGTGAGTTGGCCATTTTTCATTCGTATAGAACATGGGAATTCCCTTGAGTTTTGCTCATTTGAGGGATTTCTATCCATTTGCAGGGCTAACATATGTATTTCCGAAGATTGGTAGGGTTAAACTGCTGGAGAAGCAGAAGCATTTTTGTGTTTGAAATGAGACCTAAATCGATCCAGGAGACGAACTTTTGGTTTTTCCATGTTAGCATCAAGTGACTGCACAAGTGTCGCTGTACACACAGATGTATGGGAGTTTACATATCATTTCTGGGTAGACCTTGTAGATTGAAATAAGCCATTATTTGCATCATAAAATTCTCAAAGCATAAAATTCGCGGTTTTTATAGTAGACATTCTGTCGATGGCGGTATAGCTAAAAAATATTCTTCCTTGTTATCAAGCTTAACTGGGGCATTCATGCAAGCGACCTGAAGTATTGTAAAAATAACTCACTTCTTTGGGGTAAGAATCACCTGTACCACCTCTCGTCGCGTTGATCGTCGTGTGACTGGAGCCAGCATCAGTAAATGTTGCTTTTGTAGCTACCGTGTGCAAGAGTAGACCAGTGGGCTCGCTCTATGAACTCGTTGAGCATCATGCTTTTCTTCCAGGGTTTTCATGAAGAACTCTGAACATCGGATCGGTGGTTTTCCTGCAGCACGTTTGACATTCCGAGAAACGCAGTCACTAACGGCTCTTGTTCATCGGTTGTCATTCACACGCGTAACGTATCCGGTCCATCTTATCTTCCACATTTTGGCGTATGGAACGACTGCTTTGATTCTTTAAGTAGCTCGGAGCTTCGTATCTCCTCCCTCACTTGCGTGGTACAGGAGGCTCTTAACATCGCTCTCTTGACTGCTCGCTCGATAATGCTAAGTGGTCTTTTATCTTGCTTACGTAGCGACGAGGTTTCCAGCGCGTACATTGATGCAGGAGGAATCGTGAATTGAAAAAGGCGGGGACGAAGTCGGGTGTTCTATATTCTCACTACATCTTCGGTGTTGGTGAAGGTTCACTATGCCGCTGGCTTCTTCATGCTGAACTCTGCAGCTGAATACTCTTTCGGGTTGACTTCTCGAACTAGGCAGACGTAGCTGGATTATTTGGAGAGTGACGGGCACAAGAAACTAATCCGATCTTTATGAACATCGTTTTTGTGTGATTTAGTCGAAGATGAGTCTTTCCACAGACTTTATTAAAGTGTGCAAACATTCGTTCCACCTGGATAATGCTTACTGCTACAAAACGATGTCGTCGCCAAAGCGAAGGCGTTGTAATTACCGGCCGCCGATCTTCATCCCCATTTTGTCTCATTCGTGTTTGCATGACGTTCTCGAGGTTGGTGGTAAATTATTTTGGTGAGGTGATATTGCATTGCCCACACATCTTTGACGCCGATGTTAATATCGTCGTTGAATGGTGATATTTTGGTTATGAAGTTGCTGCATAGTGCACGAACAATCCATACACACTTTGAGTAGGGACGCTCTGGCTATCTAGGACTTCCATGAGTGCTTCTCTCTCAGCTGAGTCAAACGCTATCTTTAGATTCGTGAACGCGAAATAGAGCGGTCGATTATATCCTCATGAAACTTTAATTTGAATATGGTCCATCGTGCTGAATCCTTTTCGAAACCCAGCTTGCTCACATAGCTGTCCTTCGTCTATTGTTTTCTCAGTAGTGTTCATGGTTCGAGTCAAGAGTTTATAGATGAAAGACTATACGCAGATTGAGCGGTAGTTGCTGTTTTCATGGGGTCGTTCTTTTTGAACAAGAGTATGGTGTTCTGACTTTTTTTTATTAAATAGGACCTTTACAACCCCACAGGTAACGTGTGAAAAGTCGAGCTACTGTGTTGATTAGCACTGCTGGAAATTTCATCAGATGTTAGGTAGTGTCGTATCCAGATAGGTCGTTGTGCGGTTTTTTCGCTAAGAAATACATACTGGATATCGGAAACGAAAACCTGTGGAACAGGATATGCATCCTCCCTAATTTCATGTGGGGACTGGACACCGTGGCAATTGAAATGATCCGAGTAGTAATCATGGATTTCGGGCGTGGAGTGCGAACATCATCAAGGCAGTACGGGTGTTCTTCCATAAAGGTTTAGTATCAATTTGCAAGCCCGGAGGAACGGAAGGCTTGTTGAACCCTAGGCACGAGATCCAACCAAAGACCACGTATTTATTCTAGGGTACCTTTAACCACTTTATTACACCTTACCTGGATGAGATGAATAATAAAAGGTTAGAAGGTAAAGCTCTCGGCGTTGACCAATCCCTGAGAGATGCGTAATGCGTTGGACTTCACCAAGGATTGTTCGAAGTGATTGAATGCATATCTGGCTTGAAATGATCCGACACTCGCGGTGGCATACCAATGGATCGACCCATCGACCCAGTGCTGCTATCCGTGGAGACAGATGTCGTACCAATTTGCCGACCTCGAAGGGATGGAAAGCTTGATGAACCTGGGGATACGGGATCGATCCTATATGGATTGCAGGGTACCTACTAATATAGTAGTGCCACTGTATGCAGTGCCACTAATATAGTAGATACGCCATGAAACTCATTGTCAACAGTTGGTAAAAATTATATCAGACCGTAGATTTCAGTTGACTTCAACCAAACATTGTGAAGTTCGACGGCACAATTTTTAGATCCCGTCCAATCATTTTTCTCATTGATTTTCTTTTCCAATTACAGGAACCGGGAATATGGAGGAGAGCCGATTTACTGCTCTAGAGAAGTGGGTAGTTGTTTTCAGCGTTATTGTTTATTTGAATTGTCTGAATAACGAACGAATGGAAACTGTAGAGATTGTTATGTAGTCTATAAATCCAGAGCACTAAGTTCTTATATTCGTACATGCCGCACATCGAAAATGTCGCCACATGTTACGGCCGTCATTGATTGTATGGTGATGAATACAATCACAGCTGCATGTCAGTTGCTGAAGGTAAGTCATGACGAGTTACTGTCAGGGGTTTTTTTGACATCAAAAGTTTCTTTTATCGAATGCAAAGTAACGTAGTCTCCACATCTGATTTTCTTATGCTTGGTCACGCCTTCTTACATTCATAGTATTTTAAGGGTTTTTTTCTTCCCACTCCTCTTCGACTTGTGTATATGAGTTAGTAGTGGGTCTGTTGTGTGCAAACGTCCGTTTTTTATCTTTAAATATTTATCAAACTGAAAATTAAGAAAAAAAATGTTCAGGGTAAGCAGCCAGACACTCCCTTTGAAGGTGCCCTGGTGAATGAACTACTCTCTGAACCGGACACGATGATTACAAGTGCATTAGAAGAGATGAAGCATTTGAGTTTTGACTAATTTGAGGAAGATTTTCATACATGTTGTTTTCACTAGAACTTCATTTTCCACCTTATTTCGACTTCTACGTGTTTTACATTTTTCGCTTTCTCACTTACTTCTTTTACTTTCCTTTGCCATTCGCGAGTAGTTTTTAGGGAAATTCTTGATTTGGAATTCAGTTCTATTTCTCTGGAAATCTCGCTCTGTGCAGTATAGCAAAATAGTACCTTACTACCAAATATTTCGATAACATCGAATTTTATTTCCGATAGTTCTCTGTAATATATAGTTGGATATATTGGGCTATGCTGTATAGTGTATAACACTATTTCCCTTAAATTCGGGAGGCTGTCAATCTGATATTTTTAGTGCTTTGTCGAACATATTTTTAGTACTCTACAAGTGCTCTCGTTTATGGCCCATTTTGTGTGCGATACGTACTTGAATGATTTAAAGGCAGATTGTCAGTTTATAAATTTAGTGGTGCTGAATTTGGAACGCTTTCATGTAACACAATTTTTCATCGTACCGTAGAACTTCTAGAACCATGAAACTACTTTGAACCTTTGTTTTGAAGCCAAATAAGTAACTTGTTCTAGTTCCCAGGTTCGACTTTCTATTAATTCGGTATTGGATTGCAAATGTGTCGTTCTCTTTTTCAGCAGTCGCCAGGTTGTTATTCAGCACACGTTTACTTTCGAGCACATAGAGCACATACAACACAATGGTAGCTGACGCTTCGGCAGTATTGCCTTCTTCAGAGCCTGGAAGAGAACAGTAATGTGTAATTTGCTAGGTCAAACACTTCAACAGCACGAAGAGAAAGATGAAAGCCTGAACGATAATTGCACGATATGCGGCTTCTCCAAAAACCCTTGTTTGGAGAGTCGCATATATAAGTCGTTTTATTTAGCGGCTGTAACGGTTTCTGTTGAAACTTTTGGTTATTTCGATGCAGTATCCCTTGTTAGCATTACATAGCTCAAGATCTGGAATCTATAGTGAATCTGTGACTTCGTTCTCGATGTGCCGACGATGTCACTTTTACGACTTTCTGTAAGCGTTCGGTTGTTGGAGGTATTTTAGCACACTCATGAAGGCATTCTTTTGGTAATATTAAATTCCGTACGTGCGTCGATCGACGAAGTTTTCATTAAAAGTTAACGAATACCTGAGGTTAGCTATATATCTGACGGTAATTCCACCATGTGTTTATAGGTGCCTGTCTCAGCGAATTTTTACAGCGTTCTAGCCATTTCCTATTATAGTTCTGTTACATGGTATTTATTTCATTTTAGGGTGCGGTTAGCACATCGGTAGCGATGTCCGTCATCACGAGCATGGTATTAGTTCGGTCCCGCTCCGGACCAACTAAGACTCTTATTCCTCCGGGGTCGGCAAATTAGCATCAGACTTGTTTGGGAAAGAACCACTTTATGCAGTCCAATTGGGAACGCTTCAGCCCGGGTATCTCAGGACTCCAGGGAGGATTGCTCGACCAGCAATCTACGACATTCAATATGAAATGAAAATCCTCAAGCAGTAACCGAAGCCACACGTAAGAGTTGGAAGATCTTCGTGGACAATGGATGCGAAGAAACGAATCGAATGTAAAAGGGGCTGGTATTCGCACAGTAGACGTGAAGACGAGCGATATAAAAAATGTAGAAATAAACAATCTTTCAACCCATCCAATCATTTATCCATTTCAACGTCATCGTCGACAAAAGAAACGCTTACTGGATCTCACCCATCCATGTAAGCCCTGTAGGTTGGCCCCACCTATAATATTCAGCAGATGACTCACAGAAAACGGCTGTGAAGGCGAAATCCACATTAGATGCACATTGTCTCAGGTGAACCACAAAAGAGAAAACTGAGGCACTTTCCGTTAACAATAGCATGTTCTTCTTCGGAGTATAACAAAATGAATCGCGCTGTACTCAAGCATTCCTATCTGTAGTGTCATCTCAGTGCCCTGCTCACCAGTAACAGTCCTCACGCCGAAGGAACAAATTCACTCGAAATATAGGTACTAGTAGATTAAGAACACATTGGTATGACCCCTAATTTTGGGTCCCAGAACGACATTAAAATTCTAGCCGAGTCATATGTGACTCATGCCTGTCAACGTCCTTTCATCAAATGACTCCTCCCACTTCACTGCACTTTCCCCCTACGATGTTCTTTTTCATTATTTAACGATAATTTCTGTTATTTTCACGCCATTGTCGTCTGTAAATTCTATAAATCGTGCTATGCTTTTTATGGATGTCGGGTGAAGATGAAAGTCGTGCGCCATCCAACGGCATTGTGCTGTCGGACTTTCGTACCTGATTTCATAGGATACTTTAACACATTCTTTACTACAAGGGTACGTTGCTAAATCGACTTTTACTTGACATCGTCGTTGGTGAATAATCAATAAATTTCTTTGGATTGTTCGCTATGGTTAAGTGAATGTGGTTTAATAAGGTGTTATTACTCTGTACGCTAGCTATTTTAGCAGACTGCTACACGATGGATTGACGACATGAAAAGAAATCATAATCAGTCGACAATCAGTCAATAACCGTGCTGTATAGAAGGACACCGTCCACCGACTCGGTGCGGCTACAAATACCCACGTCGAGACACCGACGAACCGTGGACCATTGGCTCGAATAAACGCGGCTCTGAAGAAGCCAAAGATTCCGAAACGTTAGCTGGGTAGTGGTTACATAAAAACAACGTGTAAGCTGAACAATCTAAAAAGAAATATGGCTGTACTCATCTTAGCGATTGCAAAGAAAAGATCTCAAAAGCAACGAGAAGATCAAAGACATTCATCCATCTGTGTCTTAAGGTGGGAAACGTTGGACTATCACAGTAGAGATAGTATTGGAGTTATGGTACTGCTTATACATACCAGCCGTTAGTTCTAGTTTATGCCAAGAGACAAGTTAGTGGTGTTCAGTCCCTTTTAAGTAGTGGGTGATGCAAGACGTGCTGAAAGAAGCAGGTTATACAAGATCAGTTCGCTGATTGAACTCGTCCGAAGAAATTGCACGATCGTCTAAACAATGTGGCAAGAACGACTTTGCATCGCAATTCTCATGACCGACTTTCCTTTAACCGGTGTTTGCATGAGCTCGGCTACAGTCTATCTGATCTCCTGTAAAACGTGCGGGGACGAATACACTGGCGAGACGGGTAGGCTGCTGTGCGTCCGCATGAAAGAACACCTACCTAGTCGGTAAATCTAAATTAAAACCAAACACACCGCTAGGCGCGCATTAGGATGCAAGAACACAACGGAGAGGATTTTGAGGTAGGATTCACTATTTTTACGCAGGAATCGAAGACATCAGCGCGTAAAACTCTTGAAGCGTTTCGGATCAATGCCAAAAATTCAGAAATGAACCGCAAGGTGGAGTGTCTTGTCATCACGCGTGACTTGGCGCCATAACTCAGGCTAATCTAATGACCTGAAACAGACACAGTTATCGCCCACGTATTACTCTGTGAGGCTGCTATCCAGCAACTAACTTGAATACTTACAAAAAATAACCGGTAGGTGTTTAAATGAAGCTGTTTCTTATGCGAATACAAGTTTATTTCCCAGGATCGACTTTCTATTAACCTCGGCATTGGAATATGAATGTGTCCTTTTCTTGTTCAGCAATCGCGAGGTTTTTAAACAGCATACATTTACTTCCATAGAAAAACACAATACAATACAACACTGGCTGACGTTTCGGCAGTATCGCCTTCTCAGAGCCTGGAAGGGTATGCTGATATACAATCTACTAGGCCAAACGCTTCAATAACACTTACAAAAAGACGAAAAACTCTCCGGTAATTACATAATCAACCACTTCTTGAAAAAACCCACCGCTTTTTCGTGACTTCCAATCAGGAAGTTTGGAACAACTGATTATAGTCGCATGTGGTTGACGACTGCACCATCCCACATCAAAAATCGATGTGAACATACGGGGTCAGGTCGCGCATGACCTCTGGGCATTCATCCCTGCTATTCATTGTAGGGCTTTTGGCATTTATCCAAAAAGCCTCAAGAAGTTTTCGCGCTGGTGTTTTAGTCTCCTGTGCAAGGATATTGGGCCCAAGTTTTGCGCCATAACAGCCCATTTCTAAAACGACCCTGCGTAGGATAGCATGCAACCTTTATGAACTTCAAAATCGACTCCGCTATCAGGCCAAGCAAGAAACATCAAGTAGAGATAAAAAATCAAGAGGCGGACTACTACCATCTCCTTAAACTTTCTAACGCGGTAGTGATCAAGGGTCGTGAGAACGCCACCCGAAAACACGTCTAAGAAACGTTTTTGGGAAAGGAGATGGTGGTAGTGTCGCTGCGTCTTGATTTTTATCTCTATTTAATGTTTCTTGCAACAACCCAACGATAGTCAACAAACCTGGACAAGGGCGAACTTCTATAACAATTAACGAGCCTATTTATATGCTTCTGGAGAAGGCGGAATTTGGCACAGGTCCAGCATCTTTACCGAAAACATTCGTCGGCTACCGTCTCCATATCCTCTCAAAACCACATATCATCTGGCGGAAGACTGCTCTCGCAAACATCCTCATGCCCTTGTTATTGTACGCATGATGACTTTTGGACAGTAATAACAAACAATGAGTTCAGATTGCAAAAATAGGTTTGCATAACAAGACTGTTTACAGCGATCGAAGTTGCTAAGGATGGGATCGAAATATTTACGTACTACGACATCTGCTAGGCAACTTGAGAAACAGTGGGTATGATCCTTAATACTGAAACTTACAGTAACATAGAAGTATAGAAATAGATATAGAAAGAAGTAGAAACTATTCTGGGAATATTTGCTATAGCCGAAACGTCAGCCATTGTATCCTAATAAATTCTATAATAACAACCTCGTGTCTGCTTATTGAAGAAAAACATCGGAAAAGCGACTTTATCAACAACCTTTGGTGTCTTTTAGAGGACGAGTGGCATTCTACCATTCCACCAATACGTCCCACATAAGACA